GGAGACTGCGCAATGGGCCCTGTGGGCCGCTCAGTGACTACGTCCTGGGAACCGCCCGTGTCAGTCCTGTGCTGCACACTGTGACAAACAAGACAGGTGTGGTCTCTGCCCCATGAAGGTCAGAGCTCACGTCTTGTGCGAGGACATGCCGTGACCGTCGTGAGCTGTGAGCCCCGGCTGAGGCGCCCTGGCTGAAAGCCGTGGTCAGGAGCAGCACCCAAGAAAATGGCCGTTGTTCACCTATGCTGGAGCAGAAGGAGCAGACAAAGCCCCAGGCCCTTGGTGAGGGAGTGTCGGGGGTAAAATTGAGGTTACAGACACTGAAGAATAAGGGAAAGCGGCAAAAAGCAGAAATGGTGTTGACCAGAAGAGGTGTTGACCCACGCCTCTTAGACACCTGATGAGACGCGGCCACTTCCCCAGATGCAGAGTTCCACCTGGATTGGAACTGCTGCAGTGGCAAAAAAGCAATGTCTATTTTGTTCAGCTCCTCATTTCACACGCGCACACACACACACACACACACACACACAGACAACCCTCTATAGGGCAGAATTAGCAATGGGTTTTAAAGGTGAAAGAACAGGATCCACTGCCATTCACTGGCTGTGTGACCTTGAGTAACTCACCTCCCTCTCTGAGTCGTACATTCTCTGGCATATGGGCCCAGTTGGACTCTGCTGGCATCAGAACCAGGCTCCAATCCTGCATGCTGTGCAGTGGCCCTCAGCTTCCCTGTGAAAGCTCCGCCTCTGGTCTGGGTGTCAGGTGAAGCCCTTCCCAGTCTCCTGCTCCAGTTAATCAGCTCCTAGATTTGTCCACCAGTGTCTCTCCACCCCCTCTCCCCTCTTCCTCTCTCCTCCCTGCCCACCCTTCCCCTCCTCTGTCAGCACCTGTCCTCCTGAGCCCAGTTATTCATTTGCAAAGTCCCCAAAATGCAGAACAAACCGGTGTAGACAGCCCCCTCGTGTTGGCGCCTCCAGGAGGACAGCACGTCCTGCACCCCCAGCCGTGCGGGGCCCATAGCCTGCCTCTCAGCCCAGCTGCCCTTGGGCAGCTGCCATCTGCCCTTAGTCTTCAGATGCCACAGTGCAGTATTAGTATATTGGACTAAACGATTCTAGGAATTTGCTAGCTCTGATGTGCCAAGGTCTTCCTCTAACTAACTTCATCCTATATATTTTATATAGATATAAAAAGCTAACATTGATTGTGGCTTACTGCATGCTAGGCTCTCCTCAAAGTATTTTATGTGCAAGGTTTCTTTTCATCTTCACACCTCTTATTTCACAGCTTTTACTGCCTTGTGAGTTGAGCTGATTGATCCACAGCTGTTCAGTATAAAGTGTCAGCACATGGCTGCGTCTAGGCTACCTGACCCACACCTGGGTTCTTGGCCTCTCTGTGGGCATTGAATTCTAAGGAAAATCCTCTGGCTCAACTGAGTTTCAGACCTTCACTGTGTCCCCAACTGCCTTCCAGTTCATTCCCTGTAGATGTCCCCCAGGGTCCTAATTCCACGTGCACCAAATGCATGCTCACCCCTGCCCCCCCGCTGGCACCTGCCCCTCAGTGCCTCTCGCCTATTTGGTGCCTTTGTGAGAATCACAGAAGGGCGCCCCTCTTTGCAGGAGGTCACGACCCCAAACCAGGCTGCAGGACCTGCTCAGTACTAATGCAGTGTTCCGGCTCCACCACCTTCACCTTGCTCAGGGTGGGACTGGAGTCTGTCCAGGGGAGCAGGGTCTCCAGGGAACATGGTCCCAGGAATGTTGTCATCCCTTGTCCTCTGGAGTAATGTCCTAGGGCAGAGGCCACTGGATTCCCAGACCATATCTGAGAGAGAGGGAAGTGTGTGACCAGGAGCAGGAAGACTGGGCCCCCAGGAGCCTGGTGCCCCCAGTAGTGCTTAGAAGCTGAGGTGTGCACAGAGTTGGCCTTGAGGGGCACTGAGGACTCTGAACCCATGGGAATAAGGAATGCAATGCTGGCATAATGTGGGGGACCCTAGGCCCCATGTCATGGGAAAGAAGGCTATGGTCCGACTACTTAAGGGTGAAGGTCTCAGCCTGAGCTCAAGTTCCCACTGCCAAAGCTCCCGTGCTACAGCGTGGGACCACCAGATGGCAGTCAAGGCTACAAGGCAGACAGAACAGCCCCCAACCCCGCCCAGCTGGGGCCTGTGGAGCAGGGCTGTTCAGGAGGGCTCATCGCTGACCCCAGGAACTTCAGCCAGAAATACTGTGTGAGTGTGAGTGTGTGAGTGAGTGTGTGTGTGTGAGTGTGAGTGTGTGTGTGTGGTACTGAGGGTATGGACAGATGCACTGCTGAACAGACTTCAGTCCCTTCGCACCCCAGGCTTCCCCAGCCCTGTCCTGAGTGCCAGTGGGCACAGAGGGGAAGTGACCCCTTCCCTCTCCCCTTTCACTTGAGGAGCTCTGAGCCTGCTCCTGGTCAAGGCAAGATGCTGGGTGAGTGCACAGCTGGCTGCTTCACCCCAGGAGAGGTGCCCCCAGGAGGGGCTCGCCCCTCCCAGGACTGACCGCTAAGCTGAGGCTGGAAAGCCTGCACAGAGCACACACCTCTCTCCCAGCAGCCCCACAGAATACATGGGAACGGAGCACCTGAAAGGTTGTACCCCCAAGGTGAGGATCGCAGCTGGAATTTGAACCAGAATCTGCACCATGCTCAAACTCTTAGCCACTGTGTGGGCTGCCAGGGCCTGAAATCTGGGAGCAGAGCTGAGTTAGGGGTCTGGCCCTGGGTCAGAGCTGCACCTGGTGCCCGGAGCAAGTCCTGCTGCCCCCAGCCATCTGACTCACGTGCCAGGCTGATCCCAGGGGGTGCAGCTCACCCCCAGCCCTGTCCCAGTGACATAGGAGACTCCCACACCCCACTTTTCCCTGGTTCTGGGGAGGACACTGCCCAGAGGGAAGCAAGTTTGAAAACCATCTCAACTACCTGACATCTAGACCTGTATCAGCGACACTCGAGAAAGAACCCCACAGCCTTTCTCTGAAGTCAACTCCAGGCTGGAAGTTCCTCTTCAAGGAACTTTCTCTGAAGTAAACAGCGCTGAGCCCTGCTTTCAAGACAGACTTCCTGGGTGGAGCTTCCAGTGTCTGGCTTTGGGTGATGTAAGCCTGTAAATTTATGTGTTGCAGGGTGCAAGCCCTGTTCCAGGAAGCAGAGGAGCAAGAGTCCTGTGGCAGTAAGAGAACCTCCTGGCCCTAGGCCAGGATCTGAGACGAAGGCGCTGGGCTAGAGGGGTGAGTGCAAGTTGGGGGTCACCAATAGGTGAGAGTCCAATCAGGGCAGCATGGACAAGTGGGGAGAGCAGGAGAAGGCGCCATGGGGAGAAGCAGCACCAGGTAGAGGGAGGATGCTAGGGAGACCTGTGAGCTGGAGCTCAGGTGGAGGGAGAAGGCGGAGCGGAGACAGAAGCAGGGATAGGGAGGATGAGACGAAGCCGAAGCCGAGAGCATTGTGCAGAAAGAGCCAGAAATTGAGAGCCGGAGAGCCACAGGGCTGGTAGAGCCAGAGAAGAGACAAAGCTGGGTGGAAGGGGCCAGACATGGGAAGAAAAGGGTGGGTGGGAGCTGGGCTGTATGACCCCGCAGGCCATTTGGGGTTCCTGCCTGCCCAGCCCACCGAGCTGTGGGCGGGGTCCCCCCCCCCCCTTGTAGTTGGGCTGGGACCCTCCCCCTCTTCATAGCTGGAGAAGCTCAAAATCCCCTTCCCACTGACTTGGGCTGAGAACTCACCCCTCCACCCCGCCCCAGCCTAGAGGCTCCCCTCCCCAGGGCCCCCAGGGCCCCCAGCGCCACCCCTGGGGACTGGCTGTGTGGCTCTGATAGACAGTGGGGGGGCCCAGCTGCTCCGTTATCTGTCTCCTCCAGGAGGGAGCCTGAGCCACTCAGCGGCTGCCAGTCTGAGATTAGGCCCCTGGAGGGTCATTAAGCACCGCCCTGGCCCAGGCCCAACCTCCTTTCCCTCCTTCATCTGGTCAGGCTGGCAGGTGGGAAGTAGTGATAAGGATGGGGGCTCCTGCAGTTCTGGGGCACAGAGCTCCATGCCCCCTGCCCCCTGTCAGGGCAGAAACACGGGGAGGGGGGCGGGGGAAGGTCACGACTAGGCTGGCACCTGCCAGGACTCACCGTTCCCAGCATCCTGGCCCTGCCAACATGAGGAGCCTCCTTGACGGGGTGCCGGGGTCCTGCCCAGGCAGGAGGGCAGGGCAACAGCTGCCAGAGGACCTGGCTGCAACCTCACAGGTGAGGCGGACAGGGCTCCTCGAGCTTCAGGAGACAGAGGCTGGTGACCTGTCTCTGTCCCTGGCATGTAGGCAGGGCAGGCGGGGAAGGGGTCGACACCAACCCCCCCTCACCCATGCAGGTGTGGGAGGGGAGAATGAATGTAGCTTCAAGCAAGGAGAATTAGATCAGGCAGCCCAAAGGTCTGGACCATGAGGCTGGAAAGAAAGGAGTGTTTGTGCCTCCCAGAACCTGACTCTCCTTCAGTAAGGGAGAAGCTGGGTTGGCACTGCCCTGTGTCTAATCAGAGACTTCCTGAAGGAAAAAAAAGAAAAGTTAACTTGGCCAGGCGAGGAGGGAGATGCAGTTTAAGCTAGCAGAGGTGGGGGAGAAGGTACCCACCCCATGAGCAAAAGCCTAGAGTGGGGATCACACGAGCCACAACCCATGGAGTCAAAGCCCAGAGAGGGGAAGGGGCTGTGCTAGGCCTGGGGCAAAGGACTGCCCCCTGCTCAGGGATGGCCCCAGGGAGAGAAGGATTTAGGGTCCTAGGCCACTCCTGGGAGCAGCAAAGGAAAGGGGAGGGGCCTGACAGGTCGGGAGAGGGCCCGCGTGAAGGCCATGACAACGGCTTTGGCAGGTGATTGTGGGGCCTCAGTGGAAGACCGAGGGCTGTTCCTGAGACCTAGCAGCCCCCAGAAGTATAAAACGTTTTTATTTCACAGAAATGATAACAGTTGGGGGAGACAGGAGGCAGGATAGGAGGCCCTGTGCTGACCATCCTCCTGGAAGGCTCCTCTCCATTGAATTAGATGCCCCGCCCCCCCAGGACATCCAAGGGTCACAGCCAAGTCCTGCACAATCTGAGCTCTGACCTTGCCAGGCGCCATTCAAGGGACGGGAGGGCAGCGGGGGTCAAAGTGCCCCTTACTACCGATGCCTGTGCCAAGGACAACCTGGCCATGGACACAGGTGCCCCTGACTAGGCTGGGGGGCCTCAGGCAAATGGAGGTCACATGGGGGTGCTCCGGACCTTGTCCTCCTCCTCTGTGCTGTTCTCATAGGCGTTCTTGTGCTCAGTGGACCTGAAAGGGGATGGGAGGAGGATGGAACGGCACTTTGACCTCCCCCCCCCACAACAGCCCTGCACGTGTGAGGGCAGCAGTCCTGGGCTAGTCCCCCGAGAGGGGAGGGGGCGCCTCTGAGTACCTCTGGTCCTGTCACTGAGACTGGAGGCCTCTCAGGGCCACCTCCCCAACCTCACCTCCCTCCCCCACGGAGCGCCCCTCCCCACCGAACCCTTTCTCCACACCTCATCCTGTCCCTTCCCTGAGTCCCCTTTCTCCCTGGAGTCTCTTCTCCCCTCGGCACCCTCCTCATGAGGCCCAGCGCACCCACTCAGCCCTGCCCTCCGCCTCATCCTCTGTCCCTTACTCCCTTACTGTTTCTCCCCGCAAAATGGAGCCCCAGGGGTGGTCCTCACCAAGCCCCCATCATTCACCTGCCCCTCCCTCCTGGTGCCCTCTCTTCATCAGGCCTTTCCCAGGAGTGCCCATCCTTCCCAGCCCTCTCCTGTGGCCCTGGGGTGTGTGCTGGGGAGCCCCTGGAGCACAGGGCAGCCTGCCCTCACCAGCGCCTCACCTGAAGCTGGCCGCCATGGAGGAGTACCTTCCCTCTGCTCCTGCCAGCACCCCATCTGCCTTGTTTCCAACCGTCATGACCATGTGCAGAGGCTCCCTGGGAACAGACATCAGTAAGTCTCCCTGGACCCCTTTCCCTTTCTTCCCCTTCATCCTCCCCATTCAACCAGGCCTGTTTGGGGCTCTGATTTTGCAAGTCCAAGAGAAGAGTCTGAGCCTCCCTCTAGCCAAGCCCCCAATAGCTGCTGCTTCTGGCCCCATTCCGTAGGCCCCATTCCGTGGGCCCCATTCCATGGGACCCTTCCTGGGTCCCAGCCTGAGCTTTGCCAATGACCTAGGGCTCGTGCCAGCCTCTACCCAGCCTCCCTGCTTCCTTCTGCCCTTAGCTCTGCCCCCCAGGGCAGCCCCAGCAGCCTCAATACCTGCCCCAGATTTCCAGCAGACTTTGGGGGAGGGGAGGCAGCAGAGCACCAGTGAGCAACCCTCAGAAGCACAGATGGAGCCAGTGGGAAAAGGGGGCATTTCCAGCCCTAGCTCCTGGCCACTGCCCTGGCTTCCCAGACTGCTCTCCCAGGCTAGGGGTCCTCACCACTGCTCATCTGCCCTGGGATGTCTCACCCGCCCCTCAGACATAAGATGCCCCAGACTAAACTCAACAGGTGCCCCCAACCCTGCCTCCAGTGTCCTGCTTCTGGCTAACTCACTCCCTCTGTGAGTGATGGTCAGAAGCCTGTCCTCCCTCCGGCCTGGCCGGCCCCAACCACCAACCTCCAACTCCTAAAGCTCTTGGACAGTGCCCCTCCCTCCAGCCCTAGGCCTCCCCACATCCAGACCTCCAACTCAGCCTTCTCACCCAAGACTGGCCCCTCCCACACAGGCCCCAGGGAGGCCAGAGTGCTTCTGCGAAGGCGCCATATCCTCGCAAACATTTCAATGAATTCCTCTTGCGTTAAAGATAAAATCCAAAGTTCAGGCATCGGTGCAAGGGCTGCTTGGCTCAAATCCTGCCACCCGCACCAGCCTGTCTCGGGCCTTTCCATCCCTCTCTTGAACCATGGGCCAGGCCACCTGGTGAGAGTGGGGCAGTCCACACCTGGCCCCAGGGCTGTGCAGGCCACCTGAGGGCCCTGGAGTGGGCGCCCTGAGTCAGGTCCAGCCGCATCCCTCCCAACTGCTCTTCCCAGCCACTTTCCACTGTGACTGCTCCCTAGACCTCAGGCTCAGGGTGAAGTGCAGAGGGAAGGCCCCAGCCCCCAGGCCAGGCCGCCTCACGCTGTGCTGGGCACTCTTCAGCACTGGACTTTGCACTTCACTTCGCACTGCTGGGTCCATGATGTCTACCCCCATCGCCCCTCTGTCCCCCAGTATGTGGCACAGCAGCTGACCCTCAAGGAGGACAGAAGGTTCTTTGGCAGATGTTCTCTCTGCCCCAAAGACCAGGTCGCTGTCCCAACTATTAAGATGGGAACTCAAGACTCTGGGCGAGACCGTCCCCTGGGGTCACAGTGGGTGAGGACCAGAGCAGCTAGCCCGAGCCTGGGCCCCATGCACCTCCACGCAGTGAGAGGCTGGGCTAGGGAGGTGGCAGAGGTCCTGGCGCCTGGGACACTCACGGCTTCTCCTGGCACCAGAAGCGGTTGACAGCAAAGGCGATTGCAACAAGGACCAGGAACACAGCCACGGCAATCAGGCCCTGCATCCAGGGCTGCAGGTTCCCCAGGCCTGGAAAGAGGTAGAGGAGGTACAGCAGGCCCTGCCACAGGGGCCTGGGAGTGCAAACAGGGGAGGGAGCAGCCCCAAAGTCTGGGGCCTGTATTAGAGGTGATTAGCCACTGACCTGAGAAACTTTCTGGGGTAACAGGGGTAGGAAGAAGGGCCCATGTGACACTCCCTCACTGAGCTTAAGAAAGGGCTATGGCTTGGAGGAAGGAAGATAAGCAAAAAAGAAATGAGGCGCCCAGGCCTCAGAGTGCTGCATCTGAGATCCAGACAGCCCAGGCCTCCTTCTCCTACTAGGGTCATGTGCTGTGGCCCCATGGGGTGCAGGGGCCCAGGGGCCAAAGGGCAGCCAGCCTGCATCCTGAAACGCAGCTAGCAAACACCCCACACGCACATCCCCCCAGCTCTCAGCGCTAGGGTGGCACGGGCAGAACCCCGCCTGGCATCTGGAAGATCCTGTTCTGTAAGAGATTTCTCGAGGGCTGGCAGGGCGTGAGCATGTGGGACTGCACAGCTGCTCTCCATAGCCGCCAGGGGTGCCCAAGGGGGCTGGGACAGAAAGTCCTTGAAAAGCAAGGCTGAGGGAGGAACTAGTCTCTTGGTCTTGGGGGGCCAGGCAGGAGGCTTCACCGTCTGAGCCCCTTTTCATCCCTCCAGTTGGATGGCCAGGGAACTAGTCTCCACGGTCCTTCACTGCCTCTGACCCTCACATGGCCTCTAGCCATGGTTCCCCAGAAGTCTGTCGTTATCAGGGCTGGCAGCCCCAAGGTCTCTCCCAGACCCCAGCTTCACTGTGCTCCATGAGCCTGAGGGAGCTCAGCCCTGAAGAGAACAGACTCATAGCAGGCAGAGGCCTGAGAGGGGGCCAGCGGACTCAGGGGCCTGCAAAGTCCCTGCATTCCTAGTGCCGCCCTGTAATCTACAATCGGAGAGGACACCGGCTGGGCACCGGCTGGGCCTCAAAACCTCACTGTGCTTCAGTCCCACTCCAAAGTCCTCCCTGTGTCTGCCCTGAAGCTCTCCTGCTACAGAGCAGGCTCTGCCTTCTCTGGGCTTCTGATTCTGGTGACTCCAGGGGAGGAAGGAGGGATCCAAGGAACTCAGCACACACGGCTTATCTCCCTGGGGAACAGAGGTGTAACCCAGCGTGATTACCCCACAATTCACCTATGCCAAAGAGCATGTTTGGGACTTTATGGCTCCAAGAACAATGTTTTTTTCCAAGAACAATGGTTCAGACTCATTGTTTCCTCTGGGCAGCGGCTGCTCAAGGACTGGCAGACAGGACTCAAGCCCCGGAAGGCCCCTCCCTGCTTCCTTCAGACACACTACACCCCCTGCCCACTCCTCTGTGTCCCTAGGGTGAACCCCCAGTGCCAGGGGCAGAGTCTAGAGCAGGAGAAGGTGGCCTGAGCCCAGCCCTTCTTGCTCTGCTGTGTGACCCATGCAAGTTGCTCAACCCCTCTGATCTTTACTTCCCAAGAGGGCTTCCAAGTCCTGCTTCCAGTCGAAGCAGGTGTGCATGAGCGCTCAAAGCCGCAGCAGAGGAGGGCGTGTCTGGACACACCTGTGCCGGCACCTCTGGAGCTGAATCCCAGCTGCAGTCTCCAGGCTGTGGCTGCGGAGGTGGGCTGGGTGCCGGGCAGGCACCAGTCCGGGTGTGGGGCTCGGCTGCGCAGAGCCCTGCTCCACCCTGTGACCGCAGCCGTGGGAGGTGACCAGGGCGGGTTTATGGTCTTCATTTCATGGATGAGAAAACTGAGTCTCGTTGAGGGACAGTGATTTGCTCAAGGTTGCGGCAAGATAGAAGGTGCTGGACAGAGAGCTTGGGCAGCGGGTGGGGGCCACTAGCCCTCCCCCAAGCCTAGGAAGCTGGCACCAAAGCCAGCTTTGACAGCACTGCTGTTCCCCTGGGTCAAGCCTGCTGTTGGGGGGTGATCAGGGCCCTCTCTCCTTGAGCCCCTGGCCCCGTCCTCAAGCCCAGCCATCTCCAGGCCAAGTCCTGTTCCTAGAGCTTGAACGTCAACTCCTCCCCAAGCCTCAGACCCACATCTCCCCTGCAGCCTTCACTTCTCACTTGAGGAAAACAAGTCACACACACAGCACAGGTCCCTGTCTTTGGAATCTCCTCCTGCCGGCCCACTGCCCGCACCCCCCACCCCCAAACTATGGTAGCAGGGATAGTGAGAGAGGCCAGAAGACCAGCCTGGGCCCCCAGCCCAGCCCTCCCTCCCTCACCACAGCCACCCCGCCGGCCCTGCCTGGGCTACCTTGTTGACAGCTGGCGGGTGGCACCGTCACGAGCAGGCCCAGAATGACCAAACTGAGGGCCAACATGGCTGCTGCTGCGGGGTGCTCCGGGGCCTCCCCTCTGGTGGCTGGGATCCGGGGTCCTGGAGCTGCTGGCGGGGTCTGTCAGTGCACGCCTGAGATCAGCCAGCTCAGCTCAGTCCAGCCCTGGAGGAGAGGAGCTAGTGGGAAGAAGAAGGGAGGAAGAAGGAGGGGGTGGAGAGAAACTGCCCTCCCTCCCATGGTAATGAGCTGCCAGGCCTGGCCTCCCCTGGCTGGTGCCCAGCCCACAGGTCATCTTGCAGAGGCAGGCTAAGGAAGGCATGCAGGAAAGGGAGATGAGGTGAGGGTGAGGGCAGGCCTCACCTCCAAACCCAAGCCTCCCCAGGACTTCTGTGTCAGCTCCCCATTCCTGGCATCTGGCTGGGGCGTGGGGAAAGGAGTGACACATTATTGCTCCTGCCTTGAATGAGTCTACAGGGAGGGGCCTCTTGGAAGACAGACGTGGGGCAGTGTGGGGAAAACCCCAGATGCTAGGGAAGGACAAAGTTGCCCTCACTCTGAGCCTGCTCTGTTTCCTCACCTGTCCCTACTCACCTGTCCCTACTCAGGCAAGCCAGACCCTAGGCCTGAGAAACAGCCCCAGCTTCTTGACTTCTATTCTTTGGATGGGGGCGTTTCCACCCAAAGATGGGGTGGCTCCAGGGACGTCTCCAAGGGGAACTTGCCCCGCAGTTGAGGAAGTCCTCCCTACCTGTGCTCTCTTCCTGCCCCACCTCGGTGTTCTCAGTAGCTCTCTAAACCCACCTGCTCCATGGAGATCTCAACAGAGGCCTGAGGGTCCCAGTCCCCGCCTTCCCTACACAGCCTGCTGACCTGAGTCCAGGTCAACTCTCCCTCCTGGCCCCAGAGGTGGTCCCTGGAGACTGGGAGGAGCCTAGTTTCTGGGCTTAGTCAGAAACCTGCCACTTAGCTTCTGATTCATCATCACCCATCTCAGGGAGAATGTGGATGAACAGAACCAGACGGTGCAACGCAAAGGAAGGACGCCCTGAAAGACAAGGTCCAGCCTGGTGCCTTCAACTCCCAGGATTGCATGGATTACCCCTAGGGCCCTCTGCTTTAGGCATTGAGAATGACCCAGGTACCTCTTGGGGCTGGATTCCCATGCCCACCCATCCCCAGGACTGTGGGAGGCCAGAGAGGCTGAGTCTGCCTGCTCCACAGAGGCAGAGGAGTCAGCAGACCAAAGGGTCAGAGGAAACCCCTCAGCAGCCTCTACCTAAGGGCCTCCTGGGCAGCAGCATTTTCTATTGCAGGACATTTCAGACAGTGGCTGCTCCCCGCTCCCTGCATGTGTGTGTGCACATGGGCTTGGGGGACATTTCCATCCAAAAGTGGGACATCTCCAAGGCGAACTTGCCTTGCAGTTGAGAGAGGCCTCCCCTACCTGTTCTCCCTCCCTGTCCCTACTTGGTGTCCTCAGAATCTTCTGATGTTTGGCCTGAGTAGGCACCTGGCGTGTTAATAAACAGCCAGGGAATCACTGATTGGAATGCAGGGAATGGGGTTGGATCTAACAAACATCCACTTATGCCTCCTGAAGGGCTTCAAGCAATGGAGTCACATGGTCAGATTTGCATTTGAGAAAGCCCCTCTGGACACAGAGTAGAGAATGAAGGGGAAATTCAAAGACTAGAGAACAAAAGCAAAAATAAACAATGGGACTCCATCAAAAAAGCTGCAAGGGAAAGAAAACATCATGAAAACAAAAAAGCCACCTACGGCATGAAAGCAGTTACTCAAAAATCATAACTCCAATGAAAGGTTAGTACAGTCACAACTTTAAAACTCAAAGGCAGCCATGGAAACAATGATTAAAAATGAACAGAGAGGGCCCTCCCTGGTGGCGCAGCGGGTTAAAGCACAGCACTGAGAATCTAAAGCCGCTTCCTCATGAGTTCGATTCCCGCCTGCCC